AGTATGAATTTAGGTGGAAAAAACATATTTTTCATGAAAAATATTGACAATCAAATGCACCCTAAGATATTTCTAGAAAGGTTTCCGACCTTCCATAACTCATAAGGTTTTTCAACCTTACTCTTATGTAGTATTTTATTAAGAATATGATTTGTAGAAAGTATATCTTCCCCAACAAGTTTTGAAGTAAGTCTAAACTTATCGGCATTGCATTCATCATTTCCTCAAGTATTTAGTTTTTGCGTTCAAAAGCACTCATAAATTGAGGCGAGTATGGTGCCGTTGTTTGATGAATGATTCCAAATTTTGAAAAAAAATTATTCAAACGGTGCAATATATTCTCCACCTTGTTGACTAAAGTCATCATTGTTCGTTTTCCAAGATAATTTTCAATTTTAGTTTTATAATGTTTAAACACTTCTAAAGTTTCATCTTTGCTTTTCAACAAGTATACATAACAATATCTTGTACAATTATTTATGAATATGATGATATATTTTTTACCACCTTTTGCTTGGACAAACTTTAAATCACACATATTGGCATGAATAAGTTTCGGAAGTGTTGTGTTTTGTTCAACCGAATGAAATGCAATTTTGGCCAACTTAGCTTCTATACAAATCTCACATTTTCCATTTGTATTAAAATGCATTTGGTAGTAAACTTAAATTCACTTAATTGCGTATAGAATTAAAGTTTGCATGTCCTAATCTATGATGCCATAAATTAGACGACTCAAGAATATAAGTAGAAGATATTTTATTCCTTGAGTTATTTGGTACAATGGTGAGGACATTCATCTTGGATAATCCATATTTTACATGGTCTTTGCCTACATACATATTGTTTTTTGTAAGTATAAACTTATCAAATACAAAGACTAATTTAAAGTCTTTTTTGCTTAACAAAGAACCCGACACTCAGTTCTTGCAAATATCCGCCACATAAAGAACGTTGCTAAAGCTAAGTTCCTTACCCGATGTCATCCTCAAACTAACTTTGCCTTGTCCTTTCAACCATTGAACTCAAGGAGTTTCCCGTAAACAATTTCTCACCATCGATTGGAGTATAGGATGAGAACATTTCTTTATCGACACAAATATGACGGGTAACACCCATAATCACCCACCATTCCATAAGATTCCCAACATTGTTACATTCTGAAATAACAGCTGCATTCTAAAATAACGGTCAACAAGTTTATATCAGATATGGCATATTCGCTTGGACTTGTTTCTTAGGTTTGCAATAATCGATAATGTGATGTCAGGTACTTCCATAATTATAGCAAATGCCCTTGAACCATTGTGCATTCTTGTTACTTCCTTGCTTGAAAGACTCGACGGATTGCTTCATTTTCTTGTTCTTGTCATTTGACTCTACCACATTAGCCTTTGCTTGTGGTATATGACTTTCAATACGTTTGTTGGACTTTCGATTACCTTTATCAATCCTCAATCGAATGATGAGTTCTTCAATATTCATTTACTTGCTCTTATGCTAGAGATAGTTCTTAAAAGGCCTTCCACATGGAGGGAGTTTCCATAAGATTGCAGCCATTGAAATGATTCACTTAGAGATATGCTCTCAATGTGAATATCATGGAGAAAAACCTACAATTCTTGTACTTGATTGATGACCGTCTTTGAATCTATCTTTTTGTAGTCCAAGAACTTTTCCATGATGAACTTCTTAGTTCGGGGCATCTTCAGTCTTGTATTTTTTCTCCAAGGATTCCCATGGTTCATTTGCAAATTTCTTGGAAATTATACATTGTACAACGATCTAATATTTTTCCCTTTCTGTACAGTGGGATCATCTTCATTAAAAGAATTTATCAAGTTTTTGGTTGTGAGATGGAAAAACTTTTTTTGTTGCCATCTCTTGAAATCAACCCTCACTAAATTTCTCTGACTTCTCTTGTGGAACAGAGTTTGTATGGATGGTAGGAGGAGCAACAGCAATAGGAGGTTTGAACCAAGTTAGGAATAATTCCTTCCAAAGTTCTCATATTCGAAGAAATGTCGATATTGTTAAATGTATTCATTTCTATTTACACAAAATAAAGGATAAACAAAAATAAAGATTTAACCTAGAAATTAAACATATAAAGGTATCACTGAATCTAAAATTGACTTAATATTATTGTTGTAAAACGGATTCAAGTGATGTCTTTAACCAAATGTGAACTTACCAACCTTACCAAATTGGATAGAGTGACGACAAGGAAATGAGTAATAACAAACCAAAAAAAGGCTAATGAAAAAGGACAAAGTAACACCAAGTAAAATGGATGCAAAATTGAGACAAGAGTTAAACTCCTTGTCTTTAAGTTGATTTTGCCCCGCAACGATGCCTACAGATGACGGAAATCAACTTCCAAGATATAAAAACGTCCTTCTTGTATTTGTGGCACTTCAAAACACAAGAACGATGAAAACCAAAAGATGGCTTTTGTACTCCTTTTAAAATGAAATGGAAAACCGGATTTTTGTGCAAATTTTTGGTTAAGAAAATATGAATTTTTATGTTATGCTATGACTGCATATGATTGGGATATGTTAATGGACATCCCCAAGGATCTTATTTATAAAAGAGAAGAGGATGTAAGTGAAGAGATACGTTGCAAAACTCATCGGCCTACATGAAAGGTCGCAACCCATTATATCGCTAGCCAATCTCGAGCGCCAACAACGTTATTTATGTAGAGACCTGTCCTCTGACTGTCGCTCAAGCAACGGTCTTATCGTTGGCTTACCACTCAAGCGCTAGGCTAACGATAGAGTTACATAAATTTCCAGCCAGTTTTTCCTCTTTTCTTTTTAACTTTGGACCATAATTTATCATTCATCTGGAATTGATTCTAAAAATTTCAAATATTCCACAGTCATAGACTTAACGAGAAAAATAAGTTAGGCCATTTATTTTCATAATTTGACTATCGAATCAAGTCCGAATATTTGGCCAAATCTGACACGAAAGTCGTGTCTTTTTTCGTGATTTTATACATAACCAAATCTATCTCTTTTAAACCGAATTCTAACATAAAATAAATCTATTTTCATGTTACTGAGATCTTATTATTCGATGTCGTTCTCATGCTGGAGTTTGGTTAAATTTACGTATATGTATTTATCATTAATATTATTTTGCAGATTGAGAGGAAGTGAGGAGTTCTAGCTTGCACAAATCAAATTGGCTAAATCCAAATGAATTTGTCTCAACTAGATTACATCATTTGTCTAAACTAAAAGATAATTAGCTACTCATTGTCAAGTTGTACATACATATGTACATACATATGAAAATAAGTACAACAGCAGGAATATTATAGAAAAAATAAAGATGTTGAAAATCCCTTCTCCAATCTTGTTGCCTAAAGTCCAATTAATCTTCACTTGAAATAATCTTCTTCAATCTTTAATTGCAAAATCTAAGCTTTGAACTCCATAGGAAGCTTAATTTGATGTGTTTGAATTGTGTCTCTCCAAGATTGCGCATCTCTTTATGTATTCTTGTATTCGTATGCCCAAAAATCCTTTATTATATGCATACATATTAGGTGAAACCTTATATGTATGCATATATAAATGGCCTAAATTTCCTTATATTGTAGAGTGATTGATTTACATATGTAAAATCTTTTGTATTGAAAATTTATCATACTAATAAAGGGCCTAAATTTTCGGTTCGAGCAATATGATTGTGTTGCAAAGAAAAGATATGTTAAGGTAAGAGCATTAATTGACATGTGTCCAACAAACTTAAGCAAACAGCTTATAAATAAGAAAATGATTTGATTTTGCTAGGAAATGGGGCAGATCCACATGGGGTCATGAGGGGTCAAATGACCCCACAAATTTTTTGCCTTTTTTTTCCTTATAAAAAAATAATTACTTTGATCTCTTTATGATCTATTTTAACGCACTCATTACTGAAGCAAATAAAGTAAAATATTGCATTTTTAATACAATTCAAAGTGTTCATGACCTAGTTTTTCACTCATTAATGACGTGCAAAATGATCAACCATAACACAAGTTACGATGTGTCAAACTAAGTTGTTGTAAATTAGTATTTCAAAAATTTGGATAATATGCTAATTTTCAAAATTCATCGGCAATCATATGCTATCCGAATTCACAAATCGCCTATGTTATGTAGTCATATCAAATAGTTCAAATGATATCGAAAATATTAAATATGCGTCAAACGCATGATTCAAAAAAAAAGATGTCTAACTCATCTTTTCTTTAAAATATTTCAATTATTTTATTAATTTTTATTATTTTTCATTATAATTTACATCATTTTATTAAAAAAATTTATAAGAAATATGACGGCAAAAATTTTAAGATCATTACAGATTAAAATATAATTTGAATTACTTTCGAACTACATTTACTATAAATTTGAATTTTATTTACTTCCTGAATTAAATTTAGATTTTATTTCAATTTAATTTACTCGTTGTCAGCTCAACATTTGTTAACGAAATAGTAAACAAAACTATACAATTATTAAAATACGTATTAACTTATTTTCATTAATATTATTTTTTTTTTAAAAAAATTTTTTTTTAACCTCACAACACAAAAAGTCTGGGTCCGCCCCTAGGTAGAATTCTTATCAACTTAGGATCAATAATGTTGCATGTACAATAATAGTTAACCGTGTTTGTTTATAATCATGATTTGGCATCATCGCATTCATTCATTTTAAAAAAATTCAAAAACTATTTCTCAAATCAACCTTCCAAATGTCATCAAACATTGTCAACCATCATTGTAGAAGTAGATTAATCATTAGTTCACTTAGGATTGCTCTTAATTACTAACTTGTAAAAACTCACTAACGGCATTAATCAATTCCTTTGTCTACTCTAATTGCAATATCCCACACATTACTCTCTATATAAACTCTAAACACATATTAACTTGTAAAAACTCACTTAACGGCATTAATTAATTCCCTAGTTCACTCTAATTGCAACATCCCACGTCTTACTCTCTATAAAAACCGTAAACACATTCCAGATTCCTTCACTCTAATTCTCTCTCTTGCTCAGTCCTTTCCTTCAAAAATTCCACACACATACACAGAATACACACAGTGAAGCCAAAAATTCATCCATGGCGGGCCTTCAACCCAACGAGTTTGATACTCTTTGTTCTTACTCTAGCAAGAAAAGAAACTACGAACCAACGGAGATTGAAGAAGAAGCAGCACTTGCCCTCTTGATGTTATCTCAGGATAATCAGAGTTGGCACACTAGTCCAGCCACCAGTGCCGCCGCCATCGTTGAACTCATAGAAGATGTACTAAATCACGCCGCCACTGCAGTCACTACCACCAGTGAAAGAACAGCCGCTTTAGCCTCCGCCGGCGATGACAAGAAATCAATAGAACCCTTTTCTCCTACTATTATCGCTTCTTCGCCGGACCAGAATAAGCCATACATTTGTAGTGTGTGCGGCAAGTCCTTTTCGTCGTACCAAGCACTCGGCGGCCACAAAACCAGCCACCGTGATCGGTCTCAATTTGCCACCACTACTGCAATCACCAACACCTCTAATATGATCTCTTATGTCAACCCAAGCGGTAGGATTCACAAATGCAACGTCTGTAGCGAGAATTTTACAACTGGCCAAGCTTTGGGTGGCCACATGCGGATGCACTATGAAGGCGTGATAAAGGGCGGCAAGAAAACAGGTTTGATCAAATCCAAGGGTGGCGCCTCCAGCCAATGCAACAGCGATGGGTGCACCAATACTGTCGACTTCAACTTAAATCTGGCGCCCGCGTTACCGGAGACTTACTCAGATTTTACGCTTTACTCTGCCGAGAGAATCCAGGTTCTTAGCGATCAAAAGAAAGCAGAGAGTCGTATTCCTTTCAAGAAACAGCGTTTGGATGAATGAATGTACTATAGAAAATTGATCCTGAAAATTTATGTATTTTCTTTAGACAAATATTCTTGGGGATCAATTGTTTTTATTCGTTTAATCAGAAGAAATTTAGATATATACATATTTGATAACTAGATTTTTGTTTATGCTTTTCTTGTGATCGTTCTTGAATTTAATATAATTTCATTTATTTATTTTTCATCTTCAATTATGTAATTACTAGAACCAAGTTAATTAACCAATTTGTCTCAGTTATACGTTTCATCCAAAATACGGTAGTCAGAACTTCTTACAAACAGTTTTTGCACAATTCTGACTAAAACAACTTAACAAATTTGTGGTCTACAAGATATAATCTATTACGAAATTAAATAAAGATAAACAACATATATAACGTGGTAAATTTTTAAGAGAAACGTCCACACACCCCCGTACCATGGGTAAAATAAGTAAACATTAAACCCACCAGATTTTTTAAGAGTCAACTTCGATAATCAAATTGAAAGTTTATGCAAAAATTAGGTAATAATTATTATTTTTAAAATGTTATAATTATTTTTAATTTAAAACCATATATAATTATATATCAATCCCTCAACTAACAACCTCACCCACCCAAACCCTAAAAATTGCCCAATTCAATAGACCCACCCTACCACCGCACTCTCACTCACTTTCACACGCGCACAACCCAACAACTCGACATCAAATTCGATAGGCTGGACTTTCACATGCAACGACGATGGTATCAGCGTAGCGCAGGGCTTTGGCGATGCTATCTGCACATCGACTATGGTATCGCCCGAGCTCACCTTCTCCAAAGCAACAATTAACTTCTCCAGGTGCCACTATGCACAATACGACAGCGGAGTCAATGGGACAATTGTCGTGAGTAGCAACAATCAATTCCTCCCATTGATAGGCTGACCGTCATAACCGTTGCAAATCAGGTTCTCTTGTTTCTCTTTCTTTTTCTGATATTGCAATGGCCGGAGTTGGAGGTTGATTTGTGTGTATTGAAAGTACAAATGACAGTAGCAAGTTTGGGGATTTTGTTGGTTGGGGTGATGTGGTGTGGTTTGGTAAATGTAAGTGTTATGCTCTATATCCAATCGATTTAGGTTGTAAACACTTTTAATATGTTTAATGTATTTAGTTTTGGCAAAATTTATTATTTATTTAAATTAATTTTGTGATAAATAATATTAAATAATAGAGTCTGAATATCCAAGTTTAAGTGATTTGTTAATCACAAGGAGTTGTGATTGTAAGATACAAATTCGTATGATTGGATCTTGAATAAATCGTGGTCGTAAGTAATAACGAAATACGGATATCGTTAATACAGATAGACCATCACGTGTGGCATTTCTTACTTGTGAAGTGAGTAGCTGATCTCACGAGCTAAAGTGTGGTGACACTTAAATGAACACGTGGATATTTTGTTATAGAACAAAACATTGGAGACCCGCTAAGAGATTCGACATGGATAACTATCTGAGTGTCAGTGGTTAATCTCTAACGTTCGGTAGTGGAATTGGTCCTATGACTTGAGATCATCATAGTGCCTTGTATGAAGATAGTCATACTTTGACGGTGTTGGATGTTGCTCTGCTAAGGGCCGCTAATACGACATCGTTCGAGTATGTCAAGAACCATATGAAGGTTGCGAATGACCAATAGAGGATTCGTCACTCTTAGATAGTAAGAGATTGTGATTTGCATTTCGTTCAATTAAGTCAATAACGAAATCCTTGGCCAAGGTATACATATAAGTCGAAAAGGAGTTTTCGACTCATATTGACTTAATAGTAGAATGAAATATATGATCGATAATCGAGATTGACACATTTTCATATCTCATAGTTGATCGGATCATATTGATGAAGAGATTATAATTTCATGGTAAACGAACAGTTTTGATTTTGTCATACCACGTGACATTTACCGTCATATGTGTTGCCCTGATACATTGTTAGATGTCAATTTGGGACGGCGAGTGTGAATTTGTGATAAATTAAAAGGGTGTTTAATTTATCAGTTTTGATTAGATCAAAATAATATTTCACGTCGTTAGGTATCGTGGTCGGGAACCTAATGGGTCGCACACAAAAGAGAATTGGAAGATTGTAAATTATCAATTGATTAATTTAACAATTGTTGGATAAATTAATTAATTAGATTTGTTGTTTACATTCCTGAATTAATTAATTGGATTAATTAATTCACGGACCGGGTTTAATTAAATTAATTAATTAATTATTGGATCGGACCGGGCCGAGCCTGTTTGGATTTATATAAATACATGGCTAGGGTTTGAGGTCCATAAGATTTTCGTTATTCTTGTTGGCACAAGAGGAAAAAAAACTCTAGCAGTTGCAGTTTGTTCTCTGTGTAGATTTCATTGGAGGCTAGACAATTGGATAGCTGTGGGAGGCAGATTCAAGTTGTTGGAAAAGAATAACGCAAAGGAGTTTGCAAAATCAAGAAAAATGTATATTTCTCATCACAATTTTTATTTAAATACAAAGTTAAATCCTGAATGAGAATTGAAACTGTTTATTTTCGCTGTGCATGTTTAAGTAAATTCCCTACAGTAAAGGTGGAAGAGATGCTAGATTTTAGTTGGCGTTGGTGGTGGTGGTGGTCGTGGTCGTGGTCGTGGTTAATAGTGCAGGTAGTGTTGATGATGGTGGTTGCTAATGTAAGCGGCGATGGTGTAATTGTGGTTAGTTGGAGTTGCAGGCAGAAGTGGAGGTAGTGGTTGTTGGAGCTAGCGATTAAGGGATGAGATTAGCGATGATGTGTGCGGCGGTGGCGGAGGCAATGAAAGTGAGGTGGTGCCAACTTTTTGGTTTCTATTTCTGTTTATGAGTTTCAGATTGTGAGGTGGTGCTAGTTGTGATAGCGGTGATGTCGTGCTGGCTTTTTGGATTCTATTTCTATTTTTATCTGTGAGTTTCAAATTTTGAGGTAGTGTTGGCGATGTAACAGGGGCAATGGTGTTGGTGGTGGGTGGCAATGAGGTGGTGGTGATGGTCATCGTCTCAGTGGTGTGATGGTTTTGGGTAGGATGGCGTGGGGTGGGGTTTGTAACCAATTATTTGGTTGATTATGACCAATAAATAAGTTAATTTGTAACCAATAAATAATATGTAATTAATTGTTTGAGATTGTGGCCAATAGATTGATATTTTGTTATCAATGTGATCAATAACTTGTGACCTAAAATTTTGAGTCATGACTGATAAACTTTGTGATTTATGACCAATAATTTTTTTGATTTGTGATCGATAAATATATTATAATCTATAAAAAATTTATTTGTAACTGTGAAATAATTTGTGACTTATAAAATTTTTTATTTGTAATTGAAAAATAGTTTGATCAATTAATTCGATAATCTGTGACCAAATAGTATATAATTATGACCTTAATATACTTTATAAATAAAAATTAATTAATATATGATTTTTGAAGTTTTAAACTTCGTTTCTTAATTTTGAAATAAGTCATACTTAATCTCTTATATATAAAACTTTTTCGTAAAATAATCAACTATCAAAAATACAATAATTTCAGTTTTGTAATTTTGTAAAATGAACAAAAATACTCAAGAGCGAGTGAAGAACAACTCCTTCATTTTCTTTCTTCTTTTGACTTGTTGGGAAAGTGGAATCAAACCGTACAATCTTGACTTTATCCCCACTTCATTATTGTATTTGATGGCAACCATTATTTAGATTAAGATTCACCAATTTTAACTCACACCAAGTAGGCCGATCTTTGAGTAGAATTGTATCATTCACTCTTAGGTGTCTTATATTCAATTACGGTCGAAGAATACTATTTTTATTTTGAGATACTTCAATGGAACATCAGTTGATCACAACTAACTAGAGATGACTATAAGACTTCAGAACTTGCAGCTGCAGGTTCGTCGAAGATGGACGAATTTTTCTCAAATTATTCAAATATCCCTCAATAATTTTCTCCACTTATGAAGAGGCTCCACTAAACATGAACGTGTCTTACCTAAAATATGGAAGTTTTGCAAGATAAGAATGATGTAAAAATATGCTTGATATGGTCAATCATTGAATTAAGGAAAGTTTTATTTAGATAAAACAATATTTTCTTCTTTTAATTATTTGACCAATCAAACATGTCCGTAAGTATATGTTCCTGTATATACTGCTATAAGGTAACTAAAGAGTGTACCTCATTTAGGATTTGCAAACTCTAGAAAATCATAGCCAATATTCTGTTAACATGCAAGACACATTAAGTCCTGACTTACCTTGTTTTTGGACTTGCAATATAACATGTTTTTTGCACATGTTTTGACAATTGAAAAATAATTCTAATTTAAGCAAGTTAATAAATAATTAATAAGTAAAAATATAAAATATATTTTACTTACAAATTTTGTCAAAGAAAATTAAATTTTCAATTAACTTGTTTGAATAGGCCGAAATCCAGACAAAAAAATAGAGATCTAAATCGCCCACGGGACAATAGTCAACCCACTTAGTTTTGGAGGGAAGCCCGCAAATATAGACCACACTTTTTATCCAGTTTTCCACCCACCTTTTGTAGTGTAAAAGCAGACCCTTCTTACAAAACGAATACAGCCCCAAATGCGAAACACTTTATTATAACTATTCACTCTCCGACGACGTTCAATCCTGCTGACAACATTCAATCCCTGCCGATGACGTGTGAATAGGTAAAATAAATTTACTTTGGTCGACATTTTGGTTTTAGTCTTCTTCTTGCTTTGTTATTTTGAATGAGCTACGAACCAACCGATTTTTTTTCTTATGGTTGAGGTGGATCTTGATGTTAGGTAGCCTTCATTGTTATCGTTTACGTAGATCTTGAAAATTTTAGTTGTGTTTCTATATCTTCCTGCTCGTGTGAAATTGTTTTGTTAAGGAACTGTTAATATAGTTACAAGCAAATGGTTTTGCCTCTTTATTTTTACTCTTAGTATAGTTATGAGCAAATGGTTTGGCCTCTTAATTTCTGCCCTTTGTATGGTAACTGTTTTGTTGAGAAAACAAATGTACTCTATTTAACGGATGCCGTGGATTGG